GTCAACTGGAGGCAGAGGGTGGCCGTGGCTGCAGGCAGTGAATCGAGTAGTTGAAGCGTCCAGCTCTGCGTGGGCCTTGGAAGTCCTAAACAAGAATCTTATTGATGGTTTGTCAGCCCCTGAGCAGACAACTCTGAACTTTAACAGAGCCAGGATGGAAAGCTTGCACAAGGGCTTACAGTTTCCAGAATGAACAACACACTTATTTTTCCCTCCCTCAACTGAGGACGAGGAAGAGACCAAAATGAAACGTGTGGGGGGTGGTGGGGAGAGGGGAAATGTGCTAAGCACGTTCCAGAGCCTTCATGGAATAGCCACATTCCTCTGAGGGACTGGCTGCCCCTCTGAGCCCTGAGGGCTGAAAAATGTCACTGGGAATGGTGCAGTTGGGGCCTTGCCTTTGTCTATTGTTATTTCCAAAAGACTGTAGCTGGACCCCAAAAGGGTGTTGTGTCTGCAGGAGAATCACTGATGGGTCTCCAGTGTGCTTAGCACCTGTCGGACACCCAAACCTACAAAGCCTGACCCTTGACCAGATGGAGCTTACATCTAGGCCTGGACATAGAATGGATGCACAACGAGATGACTGTGAACAACTGGCTTTGACAGTAAGGAATCTAGCCAGGCAGGAGCTGGTGAGGGAGCCGAGTACTGCTGGTCATGGGTGACTTCACAAGGAAGGGACTTGGGCGGACCTTGAAGGATGAGGCAGATCCAGAGAGTAGGGGAAATGACACGTGGGCTTTTTGACTCACTCTGGTCCCTTGTCCTGCGTTTCTTTAATGCTGGTGCTTACTGTTCACCCAGCCCAGCTGTTCTAAAGGAAAAGGCACAGCAGAAAGCACATGAGCACCGCTCTCCCCTGCCCATCTGCATGGCCCACCAGTTCCCCTACAGCAGGGACCACAGCTGCCTGGTTCACCATGGTATCCCCAGGCCTGTATGTCTGGTGGCGTTCCGCATCTCTCAGCCATGCAGGCATTTCTTTTACAGTCCCTAAGTCACCAAGTCCAGATGGCTCAACATGACATGCATCTCCAGTCCAACCGCTCCTCTCCACACCTCCCCACTCTCCTGCCTCATGGAGTATGGTGGATCAAGAAGCAGAGGCCATCGCTCAGATAAACCTCCCTGGCTTCCTGGAAGTGACTACAGCCAGTCCTTTGAACCTGGTTGTATTTGGCTTTGAACCCAGAGCTACTACTCACCAGGGATGTGGCCAAATTAGGTTGTAATTCAGCCTCAGCAGCCCATTCCCACAGCTGTGCACCTGCAGGGTGGCCATGAGAACTGGAGATGGTGAGGGTACAGCTGATGGCACGGTGCCTGGCTGCCATGATTAGGTCGCCCCCTGGTCATTTTCATCTGCCCTAATATGGTCATCTAACTGGCCTCCCTGCCTCCCTTTCTGGTCCCCTTCCGTCTGTCCTCCCCTCTGTTTTCAGTTATTCCATCTCTAGCCTGCTTGAAGACCAGGCTTGCTGGCCATGCCCACCGCATTGCCTAGAGGCCCTGCAGGGTAAGGCGCTAACTCCTGAGACAAGCAAGTAAAGCCCTCAGGATCTGCCGCACCCCAAACTGCAGTTCCAGCCCCAGAGCCCACCATCTCCCCTTTGAGGCCCATCTCCACCCCACCCCGTGTGCCCCTGATACACGGGCCACGTGTGGTTTCCCAAACACACACGAGTCTTCTGAGCATCTCATGCCCTTTTCCCTAAAATGCCTCTGCCTCTTCCTGGTGAGCTGCTATGCGTTCCTCAGGGACCAGCTTATAAATTCCTCTTCCCAATAACCCCAGAGTTTGCCTCTCTTTGCTTGGTGCATTCTTGGTTCTTGGCGATATCCATGAATTACTTCTGTTCTCACTCTTTGTGTTTACCAGGCCCCTGGAAGGGCTGAGGATCCCATCTGGGTCACCTTTGTGTCCTCAGAGGCGGGCAAAAGCCTTTCCAACCTTTGGCTTGGTACATGTTTGCTCGTGTGAAAACAAAGGCTGTTTTCCAGGAATCAGACAGCTTTTGGGAACAGCTAAAGATGTGGAAGTGAAGAGCCACTTTCAGTTTTTGTGCTTTTTCCTTTTTCTTTCTCTTTTTTTTAGTTCAGAAGTAGCAGCAGTGGGACAGCCTTGAGAAGTTCAGGGGACAGGAAAACTGAAGCTTCAGACCCCGATTGCCTTCTCGGCCCTTTCACTTTTCCTGTCCACGGTAGCCAAGTTCAAGGCTCAGTGTAGTTTTTTCTTGCATTTATCCTTTGTTTTCCCTGGTTTGACTTCTTTAAGCTCACTGTTTTTTAGCCTGTTGAGTTCCTGCAGCCGACAGGAAACTTATGAATAGCTATTAAAAACAAAACAAAACACAACCTAAGGCCTTTCAATTCGAGGACCATGTTTTCTTCTTTCCTTTAAATTCTTCTGTGGGACCAGCATAGGTGGACCCTGAATAAACACTTGGTGACTTAATAGCAGTAAATATTTGTTCGCAAACTGTCAGAGCTCACACTTATAAAGCTGGACTATGGTGCCTCCTGACTTTATCTCAGGCGAGAGTTGTGATTTTGCCATCATCTCTCTCCCTCTGTTCCCTTGTTTGATTCAGTTCCCTGGTCTCTCTGCCATCTCTAGCTCTGCTCTGGTTCAGCTCGGTCATCCAGGCCCAGCAGCATCATTGCCTTGGCCAAGGCCAGGGCAAGCTGGCAGCATGGCTCCCCACCCTTAATGAGCCAGTCTGGCCATAGTGGGCATTGGGCTGAGGCATCTGGCTTCAGCAGAGAAACTCTGTTTGATCAGATGGCGGAGCCCCTGCCCTTTAAGGTTAATAGGACAACTTTTGCTGGGAGCATCCTAGTGATGATGCCCATAGTGACTGATGTCCCCTGATGCCCCTCTACTCAGAAAGCTGCTGCAGCCCATCTCTTTGGGCAAGCATTTGACCACCTGGAAGAGCGTAGTCTGTCCTGCACACTGGTGTGCCCAGAGCCCCCTCCGCCTCTCCTCTGGTTATTTATCAGTCTGCTCAGTGTGATGGTGGGTCTGACCAGCAATGCCAAGGTGACAAGGGGATGGGCAGGGTGAGCAATGAGCGCAGACATCCAGCAAAGTCCCTGTCTCTCCCTAGTTTTTGCTTTGCCCCACCATGTCGATGATGAAGGGATCCCCATGCAGACGAGGAAAGCAGGAGCCACCAAAGGTTCCAGAGGGTGGGCAGGTTGCTGCAGTCCAAGTTTTAGAACAGCTAGTCCATGTGGTAAACTTGAGGAGTTGGTTTCACTTAGTCCATCTGGGGGAAGAATTGTTTGTGCTCCAATTATTATTACTGTATTATGTATGCTAGAAAAGTGGGGAGAGATCCGTTTTAATAAACCCATCTGTTCTAATGTTTTAGCTAGATAGGACCTGCCAGAGACCTGGATTTTCAGTGGACATCTCTTGTGTCCTGATCCAGGCCATTAATTTATTTTTCTTGTGAGCTGGCCGTGGAGTACTTTTGTGTCCAAAGTAAGTGGAAGGACTCACTTTGCTTTCATTTGTTAATTTGGTTAAGTATTTATTGGACATTGTGCTGGGCCCTGGAATGTGAGCTAGACATAGAGCCTGTCCTTGGAGCTTATAGGTAAACAGTGGCACAGAAGCTACAGCATAGTGCAATGAGAGGTGTGAGAGGGTGTGTTAGTTTCTTATTGCTGCTATAACAAATTACCAAACTGAGTGACTTAAAGCAATGCAATCAATTAACTTGCAGTTCTGGGAATCAGAATGTAAAAGAGCTCCACAGAGCTCTGTTCCTTCTGCAGGCCCTAGGACAGAATCCATTTCCTTGCCTTTTCCAGCTTCCAGAGGCTGCCTGTATTCCTTGGCTCCTGGTCCCTTCCTCCGTCCTCACAGCCAACATTGTATCCCCTTCTCTCCTCTGACTCCAGCCTGTGTCCTCACATCTTCTCTCTCTGAGTCTCACCCTTCTGTCTCCCTCATATAAGAGCTCTTGCGGTTACATTGGGCTCACCTGGATAATCCTGGATAATCTTAATTTAATCACATCTGTGAAATCCCTTTTGCTATGTGAAGTAGCGTAGTCAAAGATTCAGGGGATTAGGACATGGACATTTCTGGGGGGCCACTATTCAGCCTACCTGAGGGGCCAGTGCTGGTGACATGGGATTATCTGCTAAAGGAAGCCTCACTGTTCCAGAGGCCCAGAGAAGGTGTCCCAGGAGGAATGTTATCTAGACCAAGACCTAAGGGATGAGTAGGATTTAGCCAGAGGAGGAGAAGACCATTTGCATGAAAGCTGGAGAAGGAGGGAGGGTGCAGGGCTGGGCTGTATGACTATGACCGTGGGTGGGTGACCCTGTGACTGTCTTTGGAAGCCAGTTAGGGCGACTGGTGAGCCAGGAGTGGTTTTTTTAATCACGAGCGACCCATGAACAGATCTGTGTTTTGGAAAGCCAGGCAGTCAAACCAAGACCAGGCTTAGAATCAAAGAAGGTCAGAGCTAGAAGGAATTTTACAAAGCATTTGCTCTAAACAACCTGAGAAGGTTAAGTAACAGACCCAAAGTCACCTGGACAGAATCAAGATGAGAATATCCCTGATTATATCCACAGATCCAGGAGCAGAGCTCAACAGCTGGCAAAGCTCTTTAGAAGCTGCGTTGTCTTTGTTTTCCCCAAGCACCCTGTGAGAGCAGACATTTGCCCTGGAGGAGGTGTACTCAGAAAGGTGGGCCCTCTTGGCCGCTATCACCCTCCAGCGAATGGTAGACCTGTGGGTTGGCTGACGTTGTCCATCTCAAAGCAGAGGTCCTGTTTCTCTGTCCTTGTGACCCTGGAACTGGGAATCCCACCTCCTGGCCAGGCCCCCCCACCATGTTGCCAGGCCTCACACCAAACCCTTCCTCCTGGGACCTGAGTGTCCACCATGGGTTGCTGCAGGGTCCAGAGGTGTGTCCTCATGGGGCCTTTAGAGAGAAGGCAGCCACTGTAAAGATTTCTTGTGTTTTCTGTCTCTAGCGCTGGAGCAGCTGCTGGCAGAGCTGGACGACTTCCTCAAGATTCTCGACCAGGAGAGCCTGAGCAGCGCAGCCGTGGTGAAGAAGAGCTGTCTGGCCGAGCTCCTCCGGCTTTACACCAAAAGCAGCAGTAAGTGAGGGCCCGCGGGCCTTGGGGCAGTCCCCCCAAACAGAAGGATGGCTGTGGCAGTCAGCTTGGATTGCTGTAACAGAACCCCGCAGGCTGGGGGACTGAGACCACGATGGTTATTCTCTCACACTTCTGGAGGCCAGAAGTCTGAGATCAAGGTGCCGCAGGGCTGGTTCCTTCTGAGACCTCTCTCCTTGGCTTGCTGGTGGTCGTCTTCTCCCTGTGTCCTCACGTGGCCTTGCCTTGGTATCCTGATCTCCTCTTCCTATAAGGACATCAGTCATACTGGATTAAGGCCCACCCTAATCATCTCATTTTAACTTACCTACCTCTTTAAAGACCCTATCTGCAAATACAGTCCTATTCTGATCTTTGTGGGGCTAGGATTTAATGTGTAAATTTTGGGGAGGGGACACAGTTCAGCCCATAATAGTGGTGCTGGGGTGACCTGACTTGAGTGGGAGCCCGAGAAATCTCTGAACCCTCAACACGGCTTTGTTTAAAAGCCCAGGAGCGAGGCTTTAAACTAAGTATTTTCAAAGCTCTTTTTCTTGCTGGTTGAATTAGAGAACGGATAATAAACTATTATAATAATAGCTCAGGCTTAATTGAGCACTTCCCACGTGCACACGCATTAACTTGTTTCATCCTCAAGACGCCCTGTGAGACTGGTGCTGTTGTTACAGAGGAGGAAGGAGGCCTGGAGAGTGTAAATAACTTGCCTAGTATTATACAGCCCAAGGGAAAACAGGAAAACATAATTTTAAAACTTCGTAAGTCACAGAAGCCTGAGTTTATAATTTTTCTATTTTTTTTATTGTGTTAAAGTTTACATATAATAAAGTGAGCAGATCTTAAGTATTCAATTTAGTGAGTTTTGATGATGCTATACACCTGTGTGCCCACCACCCAAAACAAGACATAGAACATTCCTATCATCCAGAAAGTTCTGTCTTGCCCCTTCCCAGTTAATTTCCTTCCCACCCCCGTCCCAAGGCAACCATTGTTCTGATTTCTCCCACCACCATTATTGTTGCCCTTCCTGTTGTTTGAACGGATCATACAGTATGTACTACGTTGCATCTGGTTTATTTCACTCAGGAGGTTCGTCCGTGCTGTTGGGAATGTCAGCAGTTGGTACCTTTCATTGCTGAGTAGTATTCCATTCTATGAATATTCCCCAATCTGTTTATTCATTCCCTTGTAGGTGGACATTTGTGTTGTTTTTATATTTGGGCTGTTATGAATAAGGCTGCTATGAACATTCCTGTACAAATCTTCTTGTGGACATATGGCTTCATTTCTAGCAAGTTCAGATTTTTTTTAAAAAAGAAAAAACATCTTGTGAAGTCATAACAGTTGCGTTGATTTTTATGTCAGATGTTTGAGAATTGGAAGAGCTCTTTAAGGACAGTAAGGGACCATATGAAGCCATCTAATCCATCTGCCTAGTGGCAGAGCCAGCCTGAGTCCATGCCAAGGAAGGGAAGTCTCCATCTGCTCCAACCTTTGCCATCTGGAAATGCTCCCTGCATCCAACCTGAATCTGCCAGGCTGCCTTTCAAGGTCTTTTCCCATCTTTGTTCCCAGTGGAACTAGTTTCTATCCTCTGAATAATAAAGCAGTTGTAAAGCTGAAGCATGTGGCTGTATGCCGTCAGCTTCTCTTCTGGAGCAATCATCTGGCTCCCTTAGCCTCTCATCAGAGGTGTTTGCCTTGAGCCCCTCGGTCACCTTTGCAGCTCTCCAAGCCATCCTGCGGTTCCCAGGCTCCTCCTGGCTTTGAAGGAGCGTCTGCCAGCCTATAGTGAGCGCTGGGCAGCAGCACATCAAAGAAGGGCTCAGTGGGAATGGCAGATGGGAAACCCACATTACAAAGCAGGTAAGTTAGAGAGGGGTGATTCACTCCTCGGAAGGATTCATCAGCGGAACCTTTAAAAAGCACACTCCCCAGACCATTAAGATGTGCTCCAACTTGAGAACGTTCTGTTATAAAGAACGCCTCTGCTGGGAATTGGAAAATACCCCTTTGTAAGAAGTCTGACCCATGGCCACTGGTGCTAAGTCCTCCTGCACAGCCTCCTGTGTGGGTCTCCTTTTTGGTGAAATGTGCTATGCAGCCTCCTTTGCAGTGACTTTTGCTCTGCACTTAATCCGCTCTTAAAAAGTCTGGCCTTCAGGGCCGGCCCAGTGGCGCACTGCTACAGTGCGCCGCTTGGGAAGCGTGGCAGCGCTCCCGCCGAGGGTTCAGATCCCACATACAAACCGGTTCCCGCTCACTGGCTGAGCGAGGTGCGGGGGCAACGCTGAGGGTTGCGATCCCGTTGCCGGTCCCGGTCTGGTACGGGCGCGACACTGAGGGTTGCGATCCGTTGCCGGTCACGAAAAAAGACAAAAAAAGGGGAAAAAAAAAAAAAAAAAAGTCTGGCCTTCCCCGCACTTGGTCTCTGCAGCTTGTAGGTGATGGGAGGTTGCCAGGAACTAGTCAGGGGGCTCCCCAATGTAAATTACCTCCAGGCCACCCAAATTGCTAAGTGTGTACAGCCATACCGAGGCCTATGGTGACCACTTGTATCCTTAGGGGTGATGATGTCCACTTATTAATAGCCACCGTTTGATAGTGTCCCTTCTGGTCCACTTTATACCCCTTTGGCTGCAGAGTGGGTATAACAGCAACTAACATTTATTGTATACTTACTGCTTCCCAGCACTGTGCTTAATGCATTAAATGATGTGGATTACATCATTTAATCCTCGTCCCAAATTTACGAGGGAGTTGTTCTTATCCACGTCTTACCAACAAAGGAACTGAGGCTTGAAAAGTCACTTGCCTAAGGGTACATGGCTGTGAGTGGGGGAGCCAGGGCTTAGGCCTGGGCAGGTGGACCTAACCATTATATACCCCTCACCTTCCCACGCTCTATTGCACCAGATTAATTGTTGTCCTGCATGAAACAGAACCTAAGCACCCCCTCCCCCGAAATTGAGGCATCTGTGGTTCTCTTGGTCTCCCAGGTCTGCCTCACTGTGTATCTACCAAAAAATTATCTCAGCCTAATGAGACTTGTATGGAGGCTGGCGGATCATTTCAACATAGCCCATGGCCCACGTGGCTAAGCTGTGGTTTATGCTCACACATTTTGGGCAGAGTGTGAGTGCGTGTGTCTTTTCACATGGAATTGCCTGTTTGGGTTTTCTGATCTCTTATTTTATTACTGTCACATGAATGTTCTATCCTCTTTGCTTTTTGTCTGGATGGTGAGGTCAAGGCACAGGTCAAGGTCTGTTTATCAGGGCCTTAGCTGCCTGTGGTCTGCTCATGGCTTCACCAGTGAGGGCCACGTCTGGAGAAGTTCCAGTGGCTGCCCCTCTGATAGAAAGTGCTTCATATGCCTGATCTATCCAACTGTAGCAAAGAGGTTCCAGTCCCTCCTCGCCACCCCTACCCCAGTTCTCTGGGAAGGACCAGCCTCTGCAGACAAGGGCAGCTCCCCCAGGAATCCCACACTTTCTCTGAGCACCACGCGTGCTCCTTTCCAACACTGGTGGCTGTGTTATTTCCCACTCGCTTGTGTAACCATCCAGTTCAGGTCTGTCTCCCCCACCAGACTGTTAGGTTCATGAAGGCAGAGACAATGTCTGTTTTGTTCTCTGCCATGTCCCCAGCACCTAGCACACTGCAGTGCTCAATGCACTTCTGAAAAAGAGTGAGTGAATGATAGAAACTTCTCCAGTCAAAGGCTACAACCTCCCAGACAGGGGACTGCTCCCTGTCCAGGGCCAAAGTCACTGTGCTTTTCTCACAATTGCAGAAAATCTTGGGAGCCTCTAATTTACCAACCTGGATAGTCCTGGTTTAGCAACCCTCTGTGAATCAAAACTAAGTCAAGCTTGACCTGCAGAGTGCCCAGCATAGACAGATGCAGCCTGGTAAGGCAGCCAGTATGAGTTTTCTCTGAAATTTACAATTTGCTATCTTGGGGAGAATGCACCTGCTCAGAATCTAACAATTAAAACAAAAAGAATGATACCTTGCCTTTAAGTTTTTTGGTACAGGAGTATGAACTCCGTTAATGATTAAAAAAAGAAAGGAACAAAAAATGAACACTGAACACTATGTTCCTCACATTCCTTTTCTGATTCTTATCAGTGTCATCTGAATATTTTTGTGTAGTTGTGGTTTGCCTCTGTGTTTCTGCTTTACATTCTTTTTATGTTTAGAATTGCTGTATGTGCACATTTCCACGTGCTGACAGTTCACATACTTTTTCTTTTTCTTTGTTTCTTTTTGCTATTCTGAAACTTGATCTTTTAGTTTAACTCTATGTCTTGGAGATCTTTGTAAACAGCAAACATAGAGCTATCTCATTATATTTCACAGTTGGGTGGTGTCCACTGGTGGATGAACCCTATGTTCAAGTAGCCCCCTGTTGGTGGGCATTTAAGCTATATATATATTTTTTTTCTTTTTTTCTGACTGGTAAGGGGACTGCAACCCTCGGCACGGTGTTGTCCCACCACACTCAGCCAGTGAGCGCACCGGCCATCCCTATATAGGATCCGAACCCGTGGCCTCGGCACTACCAGCAGCACACTCTCCCGAGTGAGCCACGGGGCCGGCCCTAAGTTGTATTCTTTAAAAATAAGAAACAAAAAAGAATTGCATACAATCTTGCGATGAACTTCCTCAAGTAAAATTTTGTTTATGTGCTGGAATTTATCTGTAGGAAAAATTCCTGGCAGTGGAGATGCTGGGTTAAAGAATATGAACACATAAAATTAAACTGTCCTCTAAAATGGTTGTCCCAATTTACACACTCTCCAGTAATCCATTTATTTTTTAAAGGTGACATGCTATTGTATATGTTGATGTTTATTTTTATCATTTTCCTTTTGTTGAGTCTTTGAGTTATTTCTCATGTTTTAGACTGTCATTTTTAATCTTTGTTAGTTGTAAGGTTATCTTAATTTTGCAAATCCCCTAATATTTGAGATATTTTGTACTCTTGAAAACTTAAGAGTTACATAGAAAGAGGCAGTATTTCATCATGATTGTTTTTCATCTTGTGCAGACAAGAAAACTGAGGTCAAGGGTTAGGTGTTTTGCCCAGAACTATGCTATTAATGGCAGACCTTAGCTGAGACCCTGTCCCCTGCCTGTCCCTGCAGAGCACTTTCCCCCATGCAATGCTCTGAAGAAAGTACCAACCCAGCCCCCTCTGCATCTCAGTTGGTGGAAGTGTGCAAATTGTGGTTAAATCCATCTGTACCTTGGCATAGGGGTGTCCTTGGTATAGGGCTGTCCTTGGTCTAGGGGTATCCTTGGTGTTGTAGTGTCCTTGGTCTAGGAGTGTCCTTGGTGTAGGGGTGTCCTTGGTATAGGGGTCACCTTGCTGACTGGTCCTCCAGAGCCGGGCACCAAGGTGACAGTCAGTCCCCTGGACTGATAGCTGAGGACCTATCCAGCCTCCTACTGTGCCTCTTGGTCCTTGGGGCTCTGTTTTTGCAAGCCTGTTGGTTGGAGTCTGGGCATTCTGTGGCCATGAAACAGACTGACGCTGAACTGCTTCCTTCGCCAAGGGTTTGAACTGGGTCCCTTGGCTCAGTAACACAACCACTGGAATTTATCAGCCACAAGTTTCTAGGAAATGCAAATTAAGGGCCGCAAAAGAAATTCAGGAGGATTTTGAAGAAGAGAAACACTAGGATGAGCTTCCTCCGGGGGTTTGTGAAGAAGAGTATTTGGGGGATTAGAAACCCAGCAAGTGTTAGGAGACTAGCTTTTCTCTAGCTGGACAGGCACTGGAAAGGTGACTTTACCTGCACAGAAGTGATTGGAAGGAGGGGATGGGTCGTATTATTTCAGGGTACAATCTCCAGGGTAGAGCAGGTGGCTGGTGGCTCTCTAGTTCCAATTCCCAGCAAACTCAAAACTCATATGATGTTCAGGACCTGCCCTCCCAGTAGCACCCCACCTAGGGTCCTGGGAGCTAAACTTCTGTTCCTCAGTTTGACCTATCTTATCTAGACATTACATTGATTATCTCCTTTAAGTAATTCAGACTAGAGTGAGAATGACAGATAGGAAATATTTTAAAATTTAAATGAAATGCTAGGAAACCCAGAGACAGTTCTGCTTGGTGGAATGTGAGGCAGACCTTTGAAGTACGAATGCCTTTCAACTTAAGATTTTCATTTCTGAAGCCCCTTCATTCTGTATCCCCATGTTCCCCCCCCCCCCCCCCCCCCCCCCCCCCCC